GACGCGCCATGACTCTCATTGAGGTTTCAGGTCGGGTGTCCATCCCTCCCCATTTTCCCGCAGAGGCTTTGAATCACAGTTTCCTGCTGGCCTGTTTCCTCGATTTTTGGTCTCCCTCCAAAACCAACTGGTTCATTTGAGCAAGCGACTTGCGGTCACACCGGGACGACCCTCAGCCTGGGCCGCACATTCCATCCGCGAATGTGTCAAAATACGAAGTTCCCTCGCACACTCATATGGTTGTGTCCTGAAATGTAATCGGACCCTAAAAAGCTACAGGGGGGTCCCGAACCTAATTTAACCTAAACCTGGCTGTTGCTTGTGGTATGGATTGTATCGAAGACCATTCCAAAAGGGGGTTCCATCCTTTTCAGGACGCACCCCGTATTGTGCGCCCAAACCTTGCTTGAAGGTTGGAACCCATTTGAGCACATTCCCATATCTTGGCCTCAGGGACCTCATGTAGCAAAACCAAAGAAAAAACCATTCCTTGGAGTCACCCCAAATATTCGGGATGCCAGTGCCGATGTCACGGCCTTTGTCAGCCCTTTGGCACTATGAACTCACAGCATCCAGCTCCCTCTTTCCATCCAACGCAGGGCATTGGCTCAAGGGCGTTTCTTTCCCGGTCTCTTGTTCACCGGTCCCTGAAGAGCGCCCACCGGCAGCGCCAAGTGGCTGCGCCGAGCCATGGCGGCTCGACCGGAACGCGGAAAGTGGGTGGGTGGGGGGAGTTTGGGGATTCCGGGTTGTGATTGGTGGTTGGTTGGTTGGCTGGCTGGTCGGTCGGTCGGTCGATTGGTTGGTTTCCAAATTTGGCCGAGCAACCCGACCTTGAAGGGGAGGCAGAAGATGAAGCTTCTAAGGGGGAACCAGAGCGACAAGTGACATGCACCTTGTGGGATTTGTGCCCTTGGAGTATCTTTGGTCTGGAAAAGGGGAACGCTTTGAGTTGGTTTTAAGGACCTGACAAGGGTGGCAACAAGGACAAGGTGGGTCATGGGGACGTTGTTGACTGGGGCAATGCAACCAAGGCAACGTTGGCAGTCTTGGTAATGTTTGCAGTTTTGGCGCTGCTGACAAAGCTGCCAATGTCAGTAGCTCCCTCTTAGGGCTCTGGGAAACCGGCCATACCGAAGCGGGGCGCGCGCGGGTTTCGCGCGCATGAGATGCGAGTATCTCGGTTGTGTCAATGTCATATCGATATGATTGGCGATCGTATCATAATTTATATTATGAATGTGACATTGATGGAGATGTTGCTGTAGACAATCTTATCAGTATTGGTGCTGTTGCTGGTTTGATTTGACAATGTTGGCAACGGTACTATTGATAATAACGTTGACAATGTCACCGATGTCAGCAATGTTGATACTGTAGGTGATTCGAGTTCGTTGTCATATTGGTAGTGCTGAATTTCGGAAATGTTGGAAAGGCTGGCGCACCGGCAATGTTGGTATCGTTGCCATGTTGGATATGTTGGTGCTGTTGGCGATCTTAGTAGTGTCAATGATGCCGAGATGATGAGGTTGCCGGGACATTTGGGAGTACCCTCCAAGCCGTTGATTCACCACCACCCCAGCGTTCCAGCATGAAAGATGGCACACACTTTCCTTGTGGGCAGGGGGATGACTACATCACCGTCATGGTTGTTGTTGTGAAACATGTTACATTTTTGCTTATTGTGGTATAGTGGCCCACTCAACAGCTAAAATTTAAATTGTTGCTCCCCTTCCAACGTCAACCAAGCCGTGGGGGAGTTGCAGCCCATTTGCTGGATCAGTGGTTTCTTTGCAGCATTTTGCTTGGATGCTAGTGACTTTAACTTTTTGCCAACTAATGGGTTTTCCATAAAACCACTAAAGGTTAAACTTTTAGCAGCGGAGCAGAAAACAACCGAGCGATTGTTTCCTGTGCGCGGATCAGGAAGACGACAAGTCCGAGATTGAGGACTCCAACTTCGACACCTCCACCGAAATGGCGCTGGTTGAAGAAGATGGACCGGGGCATGTCCCTTGTCAGCTCTAGGCCCAGTAGTGCCCTCTTACCCTTTTTTGGTTGGGAGGGTTCCCCTACTAAAATAGACTACAGAAAAAAAGGGTACCCTTATTCTAACCTCTCTACTGGAGGACCTGGACCTGCGCCACGCATGCTCTTGGCTACAAAACGGAGCGCATTATCTATGACGTAGATATGGGTATAGACAAATCGACAACTAAAATATGTATGGTACACATAAGCGTATGCAATTTGTGGCAACTGGAAGAGCTGGGTCATTCAACAAAGTTGATGATTATTCTGGATTTCCTACGAGCGGGCAACTGAGACACCTGGGACTTCCCAGCATGGCTTGTGCGTGTGTGGGTGTGTCGTACAATATTGCCAGGGCCAACACAAAGGACTGAAAAACACGAGGAAGAGCGCTGAAGAAGTGGCTGTGGGTCAAAACCAATGGTACCATTTTGGGAGAGGCGCCACTCCTTTTAGAACCTATTTTAGTTGGGTACGATTTGGATTTTGACCCATGGCCAAGTGGGGATTCCAAGCGGAAGGCGCGGTTGGACGATTTTGTGCCACTCGCGTCGCCAAGCTCCGGAGCTCCAGCGTCACTTCCACGTGGAAGCTCCTCACCCAGGTTTCAACTGCAAATTGAAAACCATGAACGAAAATCGGCAGAAAGGTTCCTACTCAGCGCGGAATCAGGAACCCGTCAGAAATCGTTTTTTTTTTTTTTTTTTTTTTTTTTTTTTAACACATTTTGGAATCCTAGTTCTTGCAGGTTGCTCGTTTGCAAGCAAGAAAGGGGGGCCGAAACACTGAAATTCTCCACAGTTTGGGCACCCAAGGCTGGCCCAGAGTTTGTCGTTTTTCCACTCGAAACTCGTGGCTTTCAGCTGGATGCCCGAGGTTGCAAGGAATCCATTTGTGCGGGTTCCGCCAAGCGTTCCCCTGTTTGTGTTGAGCTCAAGTGAGCCAAGCCCCAAAAGTGCGGTGCTGTGGCTCACATGCTTAGCGGATATTGTCCAGCTCAGGGCTCCCGTTCACGTGTTTCTGGTCACAGATTCGGCAACTTTCATAAGATCTTCCCTAAAGAACTCTCTTCCTGAGTTTCTGGACTTGTCATCTTTTGGGTTTTCACCATTTTGGTGGTAAAAAAGCGTTCGGACTTTTTCTGGCCAATCCACTCAGGAAGAGAGTAAAACCACCAAAAAAAGCCGCGGGTACCCTCGCAGGACCGGACGAGACGTCTCCGTCCACCAGCGGCGAGGGAGAGTGGCTCGGCCGCGTGATACTTTTTTGTGGGGTGGTTCTTCTAGGTCCCCCAGTAGTGCCCTTTTACACTCTTTTGGGGGGAGGGCTCCCCTACTAAAATAAACCACAGAAAACAGGGTAGGTACCCTTATTCGAACCTCTCAAATCTGGAGGACCTAGCTTCTTTTTTGTTCGAGGCGATGGGGCGCGTCGTTTTGGAACCAATCTTTTTGGAGCCCCTTTCTTGGGGAACCAAACTTTTTTGTCGCGCCTTGGGTTGGGTCAGGGTCGCCTTGGCAATGATTGACATGGGCAAAACAACAAGGGCAAGGCTGACCGCTCCCCGGGGGGCCTGGTGGGCTGGGAGTCGGCAAAGGGAGAGAATGGGAACCGTTGACTTTGAGCCTTGCTTGGGTGGATTGCTTCGATGGCAATTGCTTTTGCATCCATTTTGGGGGAGGTTGGGTTAGCTCTTCAGAATGGGGAGGTGTGGCTTAGAATATTTGCACCTGTGCGAAAGGAAAGCCACCACTGTAAATACGGGGCCTGCCGAGTTTTGGATGCACATAGGCATGCCCATGTTTTTTGGCCTTGCGTTCATGTTTAGGCTTGGGGCACCCCTGAATTTTGGAACATGTCTAAACACCTAGTATGTTTCAACGGCTTGCTGTGGGTTTTTCCTGCGAACGGGGACGGGCTAGGGTTTGGTTCACGCTGGTTGCCGTGCCCTGAGGCTGGGCCTCATCGAGGTGAGCAGCTTTGGGGAGAGCAGCGGCAAGCTGCAGCTCACCCCTGCCCAGGCTCTTTGGATGCATGGGCGGACAGGACGGATGGATCTGTGATGCATGGACGCATGAATGCATGGATTGATGGATGGAGGGATGGATGGATGGATGGCTGGATGGATGGACGGACGGACGGACGGTTCACTTGATATGGTCGTTCAGTGAGCAATCCAGTTTTCGTGGGGCGGTATTTTGGGACTCACCCATGATGCCTTCGCAGTCCGTACCATCTCCGCTGCAAGGAATCGGTTTAAAAGGGCTCCAGCAGCCTATCCATCACCCCCAAGGTTAAAGTTGTGGAACTCGCTTCGCAGATTGCTCGTGGGGCGGCTGTCGTTCTGGTGATTTAACATGTGTGTTTCGCTTGATTTCCCCAATGGATGGAGCAACTAAAGATTTTGTTTGGTGTGTGTGTGTGACTTTGCTCTTGTGAAATCAAGCGGACATTGTCCATTTTGCAGGGGGGCGCGTATATGTTGGCAACACCCAAATGCTTGTCCGCTCGAGTGATCGCGATTGTGCACAGGAACTCCCCACCACCTGACGGTCAGTGGTTCTGAAAGTTGTTATGGGCTCGATCACGTGCTCCTTGCAGCTGGGTCAAAAAGAACAGCACGATGAAGAACAATGAAGAGACACAGTACGAAGCAGCAACACCAATGTCAAGTCTGAAGAGGAGGAGCCGTAGTGGCGGTTGCGAGCAGTGGCACAGAAGTTCAACCACAACCGTGGCAGCAACAGCAAGCCCAATGTCATCATAATCACGCCAAAGCAAGCAAACCACAAGCAAAGCAAGGCAACCAAAACAGCTAAAGCCAGAGTGAAGCACGAGAAGGAGAAAGACTGCTTGCGGCAGCAAGCAACAGCAAGTACAACAAGCAACATGAAACTGTCATGCTCTGACACACACACACAGACAGAGCACTGATTTGTCAACCGGGTTCCTTTGCCTTCACGCATCCC